CCAACAAACAAAGAAGAGACACACTCCAGCCAGCCCTTGAAAAAAAAAGCAAAGACATCACTCAACGCACCAGCAACATGCTGACACTCACAGGAGCGGCGGGTGCAGGCGGCCATTTTCCACTTCACCCAGGGGCCCCAGATTCCTGTGTCTCAAATTTTCAGTTCTGATTTTTATAATTGTATTTTTCTGCCATTCCACAAGGGGGGCTTGAGATGAGTCAGATTGGGCAAGGACGTGAGCTTTCTAACACTGCAACCGAGCAGGAAGTTGGTGGCCCCCCCCAGATCCTGTCCATCCTTTCCAGCCTGCGTGGGACTGGCTTGTTGGACATGCACTCTTTCCCCCGGAGTGTGGGGAGTAGCGTTGACTAGGATGCTTTGCAAGGTAGGATTGAAGAATTTCCATTGTTTTATTTTGATGTTAACCAGCTGAATGTTGATTTTACAATTAAGGAGTGACATGGAGTTTCTTCTAAAATCACCTGGTTTTATTTACAAAGGGATTCCATCTAAAGAGCTAATGGTGCAGGTGGAGGGACAATAAGACAAAACTGGCCAACCTGGTCCTTAAACGGCCCAACCTGGGAAACCCTGGCTTTTCCGGGAGCACTGAATCTCCATCAAGCCACGGAGTGCACACGCAACCCCTGGGAGCCTTGTCAAGTGCAGTTCTGATTATGTAGGTGTGGGTGGGGCCCGAGATTGCCAGGTGATGCTGACGCCCTGGCCTCTTGTGCCCAGGATTTGGTGAGTGGACCAACAGCATCTCCTCAGAGCATCAGCAGGAAGCTCACGGGGAAGACCAGCTCCCAGGCCTTTCTATGTCTGGATTTGCAATCACAGGACCCCAGGTAACTCCTGGGCACTTTGAAGCTTGGGACCCACTGACCTGGTCCATTGTTGGAGGCTCAGTGTGCACCGAGCCTGGGGAAAACGTCACTGCAGACCACGCCTTCTCTCCTCCCCTGGCTGCAGGGCTTCTGCATCTTGGTTTCCAACCCACTTCCAAAGAGCTTGCAGCAGGATGTTTTCAGGCCCAGACCCACCCTCTCTTGGAGCCCCTGTAATGTCTCCAGGGAGTCCCTCTTTGCCTCCATTTGCTTCTTTAAAACCCAGGTCCTCTGAGCAGCTGCCTTGAAGTCTGGATTCCAAGAGGCAGGCGCTGGGGGTGGGGTATGGCTGGAGAAGGGACATCCATCTTTGTTGGTCCTGCTGCTCCCAGAGCACATAATTTGCTTGATAGATGTGTCCTGACAGCAGCTGCTCTGGGTAGGGTGAGGGGCTGTGCAAAAGGCTGGGTACATCAGGCTTTAGAAAAATGGAGAAGAGGAAGGTAAAACCGGGCGACATGGTGGTGTGCCCAGTTCCCGGCCCCATGGCCTGCTGTGGGGAGGAAATGGCAATCCAGGCTCAGGAGCCTCAGAGCAGGGGCTATGTGACTATTATAATAAATGCCACTCTGTGTATGGCCGATTGTGTTTCAGAGGTGACTGGGGCCATGTCCCACATCCACTTGATTTTCTATCTGGGCTCTCGCCACACTGTCGTCAAGAGACAGAGACATTTCTTCTGCTTTGAATCCAGCTGGACTTACGTCTCAACTCCTAACTAACAGAATGTGATAGGAATGAGACTGCAAATCCTGAGGCTAGGTCAGAAAAAGCCACTCAGCTTCGGCCTGCTTCTCTTGGGACCCCAGTTCTGGGGGAAGCTGGTGACCATGCAGATTCTGACTACCCCAGGATAGCTGTGCTGGACAGACGTGTGTAGGTGCTGGGCTCCCTGCTGACAACCAGCATCAAGGACTGGCCATGTGGGTGGCCATCTTGAAGGGCAGCCTAGACCTGCCCTCCGGTGATCACAGCCCATCCGATGACTTGTCCTGTGACCACAGGAGAGATTCCGAGTGGGAACTGCTCAGCTGAACCCCTGTCCGTTTCCCAGTCCGCAAATTAACTTGCAAAGTAAAATATTTTGGGATTATCTGCTATGCAGCTTTAGTACCTGGAGTCTTCTGGAAGCTTGAGTTATAAGTCAGTCACGGGTACTTAAAGACATTTTTCAAACAAAATTCATTATATATCATTTCATTTAAAATGTTTTTAAAACGCTTGGGAACAGGGAATGGATTGTTACAAAATCAAATGGGATCGTAAAAACAGGTAAAAATACACAGCTGTAGACAGCGTAAAATGATCATGGTAATCAAGAACACTGGTTTCTGTTAGGTATTCCAGGTCTATTCTTCCATTTAGTTTTCATTCCATAAGATGAGTCCATTTTACGGATGAGGAAACCAGGGTGCAGAGATGTTAAGAAAGGGACTCACGTGGAGCCACACAGCCGGAGCCTGTACTGCGGAGACCGGAAAGGTCGTCAAGGAGGACAGCTAAGTCACCAAGCCTCCTCTCCTTGCGGATGAGGTACAGGGCCTTGGGGTCATGTAGTTCAGTGCCAGGGACTCTCAGCCCATCAAGGTGCCTGGGGAGTGTTTTAAATCCACATTATCAGGTCCTGTTTGTCCTGTCAGTAGGTCTGGGGTGGGTTGTCTCCAGAAAGTTTTGATTATCTGCACCTGAGGTCTCTGATTAAGTCCAGCCCCCCTGTTGCACCTGAGAACACCAACATCCTATAAGCAGAAGTGGCTCCCCCTCCCTCCCGACAGTGCACAGCAGCTCGACAGGAGGGCTGGGGGCCAAGAGCAGGCTTCCTCAGGCCCACACAGGGTGTTCCCCTAAGTTGTGCTCTGGAAGAAGCGTGGAGGGGTTACAGAAGTTACTAGTTACTACAGAAGTTACTGCCGATGAAGGGATCTTCATGCACTATGATATGGGGAGCCTAGACCTGCCCTCAGGTGATCACAGCCCCGCCAACGACGTGTCCTGTGAACACAGGAGAGATTCTGAGTGACAGTCTCTCCTGCAGAAGCCATGTTCTGGGTTTGGCTTGGTAGATGATTGGCACAACCCACTCGATGATCTGGCACATATTCACCAGGTGACTCCTACATGCCAGGTGGAGGTGCTGGGGGCACAGTGCTGAGCAGAACTGTCATGGGCACCACTTTATTCTTGAAGTTACATAAAAATGCATGTTTTTAGGACGATACTTTACAGAGGAGATGGTAGAAAGAAAGGGTAAAGGACAGAAGGAGGAAAAGACACATAAAGACAGACATTATGAATTTTCAGTTTCTTTTAAAACTGTGTGTGTGGCTGATCAAATTGAGAATATTACTGTTATGATTTAGATATGAAGTGTCCCCCAAAAGCTCATGTGTGAGACAATACAAGGAAGCTTAGATGTAAAGGATCGGGTTACGAGAGCCTTAACCTAGTCAGTGCATCAGTCTTCTGAAGGGTTCAACTGGAGGCAGCTGGGGTGTGGCTGGAGGAGGTGGGTCGCTGGGGGCCTGCCTTTGGCATTGTATTTGACTGTGGTGAGGGGAGTCTCTTTCTGCTTTCTGGTGCCAAGTTCTGGCTGCTTTCCTTCCCCACACACCTTCTATGATAATGTTCTGCCTCACCTTGGGCCCAGAGCAGTGGAGCCGGCTGACCTCTGAAACCATGAGCCCCAGATCAACTTTTCCTCCCCGAAAATTGTTCTTGTCAGGTAATTTGATCACAGCAGTGAAAAACGTGCCTAAGACAACAGTGACACTATTCAGAGTCCCAAGCAGTGGGACTTCTGAATACCTTCTGCAGTGTCCCAGCCCTGCAGTGTCTGAGCCTCTACCGTGGCCATCCTAGTGGGCTCTGAGCCTGTAGCCCCTCCCCTCTACACGCTCACAGTGTGGCCAAAGGTTCAGACAGGTCTCACCGTACAGTGTCTTGAGTCTAAGACGGACACCAAGGCTGTGAGCCTCTGGACTCTGGCCGGGGTCTGGGATGGCTTTAGGGTGACTCTCTGTCCTGGTTTGCCCAGGACTGAGGGTTTTCTGGGATCTGTGATGTTTACTGCAAAAATAATAAGCAAAAAGGGACTGTGGCCACCCTAGATGGTTCCTGGAAGAGAAGATAGCTCCCCTCCACCTTTCCCGACCCGCATCTTGGTTCTTGCTACCCCTTTTCTAGGAAGCCCAAATTATCAGCCTTGGATGGGCTTTGAGGCCTTCCCTACTGCCCTTCTCTCGTCCATTCTGCAGGCATCTCCTGCCAGGGCAGCTGCCATGACCCCTGAGCCATCCTCACCTTCCTTCTGTGCTCCAAGTCCCACCCTCTCCGCTGCCAGGGCCACCACTTTCAGTTTGATTTTTAATCCCATCTTCTGAATTTCTCGTTGGCTTACCTGTCACTCAAAGCCTTAAGTTCTCCTGGCCCTGTGGCCCTCTCCAGCTGTCTGGAGCCACACTGATGGATATTGTCAGGTAAGGATTGAGCTGGAGGCCCCAGAGGTGAGATCCCAAGAAGCGAACTCTTTCAGCCTCTTCCCCCCCTACTGACTGTGCCTGCTGACCATTGTCCACCCAGTGAAGGCACAACATGGGCGCCGAGTGCTGTGGGTTCTCAGGGCGTGAATGGGTTCTGGAGGGAGAAGAGGGGAGCAAATAGGATGCGGAAAACTGTCATGTCAGCAGAACCAGAATGCTACCGTTCCCTTTCCCTTCCTGTCTTTCCTCTTCTCTAGTTTCTCCTGTCCCAGTCCACCATCTTCTCTTGGAAGTCTTTCATCCTGGCTCTGCCCCCTCGTGGTGGTGTGGTGGCAGCGGGGTGCCATCTGGGTACTGTAATGGGATTGAAGCGGGCATCTCAGAGTCTTGGCTATTTCCTTACTTGTGGAGTCGGTCCTTGATGGCAGGTGGAAACAGAAGATTCCACCATCTCAGAGACTTCTTTGACTTTCCCCTGTTGGAACTGGCTGAGGACCGTCATGGGGGCCACCTGTTTTCCCTTCCCCTAAAGACTAATCCTTCCCAGGGCATGCAGGAGTAGCCACCTCGGGGGCTGCTGGCAGCTACGAATGCTCAGCTTTCATGTACTTTTCTTTGTTTTGTTTCAGTTTTACAGAGTTTTTGGACCCATTCCAGAGAGTCATCCAGCCGGAAGAGATTTGGCTCTATAAAAATCCTCTGGTGCAATCAGACAACATTCCTACTCGCCTCATGTTTGTAAGTACCATGTTTTCATGGCCGATTTGACCTCTTTCCCAAGGAAGATGAACCAAATGGGCTTTCATCTTTGGTCTTCTAACCCCTGCTGAAGATGGTGAGCAGCTTGAAATAGCGAGGAGAGCAAGCCATCAAATAAAACATTCACTCCCAGATCACAATGGTGCTGTTTGGTCACGTCAGCAGTCGAAATTATCCAACACTTTGGAAGGAGGAGAGATTCACTTCCTTGGGCTATGTCTAGCTGTTTGCAAATTCTGACAGTAGAGGAACACTAGAAGCCAGTGACAAGAATTTTCTGTTCCCTCTCCTCTCAGGATAAGCCTTGATTTTTCCAAACTTGGGTGCCAGTTGCCCTAGTAGCTTTTCTGGTTTCAGCTGGTCACCTGTTGACTGCTGGTAAGGCTACCATATGGCTTAACCTCAGAGAGTTTCTTGTGTCTCTTTCCTTCTAGAATAAATGGGCAAGCAACCCAATAGCTGGAGGTATACTTCGATTGTTTCCACCTCCTCCCTGTGTGTGGCAGTATCAACTGCTAACTCTTCACTTCCTGCCCACCAGACCCTTTGCTGAGAGATTAAGGAAGGATAATTTCCTTTGGTTCCATCCCATCCGAGTGAGGAAGGTGTCCCCACGTCCACATGTTGCAAGTGCAGAAGGAACTTGCCTGGAGTCCCACAGCCAGTGAACATCAGTGCCAGGTCCAAAGAGCGGCTCTGGAGCTCAGGTCTGTGCCAGGAGGTTGCCCTGTAGGTCGGGAGCAGAGTGTCCAGGACTCCTTGTTGATGCTAATTAACCCCTGGAGAGTTGCCATCAAACCTCTCTGTAGCAGAGGAAATATTTAAACTTCCCCTTGTTGCGGAACAGTAATGCAACTTTTGGATGGGCATCCTTGTGGCTTGAAGGTTATTCTTGATGACCTATCATTGTGTCCCGGCCTCTTGAGGTGGCTGTTCCAGAACATTCTTAAAGTACAGGAGGGATGCTTCTGCATTTAAAAAGAAATCCCTCTGATTTTATGGAGAGAATCTTGTGAATTCATGATGATTAGAAAGATCTTTGTAAACTCCACCAAATTCCTATAACACCACATGAACATTTACGATTGTTGCTGATGCTTTATAATTAATTACTTTTCTGCTGGAGAATAAACCAGATTTTTGTGCATGTGGTTGGGAGTGGGTTAGAACAAATAACTAGTATTACCCTTAAGACTTTTTCCATTTCATCTCTAACTCATCTTCTACACATTCTAGAAATGAGGGAATCCATGTGTGCCCAATGAGTTTATAGCCTTAACTAGGGGGAAGCTTCTATTTATCACTTACTCTCATTCTTGGTAAGATTTTACATTTCATGAGCTTTGTATGAAACACAATTTGAAGAGGGAGGGTCATACAGATATTGTGAGAAATTTGTGGCTCTGTCCTGGACTTATGAACAATGGATTGAAGGGTAGATACAGATGCTACAAATATCCTGGCTATAGACACAAATGGGTTGGAGCAATTTTCAAGTTAGAAGAGGGAGAATGACTTAGGACAGTGATTCTTAGAGAACAGAAGGGTTTCAGCCACACATGCCGATTCCCACTCTCTAATCTTATGAAGTACGTTCAGCCTTCTATTTTGTTAATTGTAGTTGATGAGTTTCATGTATTTGGTCATAAGATTGAGTACAATTCCATAATAGTACAAGGAAAGCAGTGGATACAACTATAATAACCCACATCACAAGGGTGGAAAGTACTTTGTCATTCCATAAATTAGATTTGTTCTCCTGAATTTCATTAAGAATTTTAATATATCATTTGTCAGCTTTGATCCTTTAAAACCTTCCAGTGTTTGTAGAAGGGTGTTTAATGGAGGACATATTTTCACTGGTATTTAAAATAGCCTGATGACTTTTGAAAGCTCAAATTTCATTATTTAATACATAAACAGAATCCTGGGTCTTTATTACTTTTGGTTGGAATGTTTTAAATCTAAAGGTGAACTTTTTAACTTTCCAACCAAGATACTTTTGAAAGGCAGCTGGTACTGACCCAGATGTTTGTTTATTGGGTAATTAGTGCCTTTGGAGGCTCGGGTATGCGTGGGCGTGTGCGTATGTGTGTATGTGTTTCAGAAGAGCCAGCTGGTCCTGGGTGACAAGAAAACCAACAGCATCGTGGTTAGGGGACTGAGGTACACGCAGTGTGTTAGGGGACTGAGTAACTGGTGATAAGGTCACCAGGCCCCTCCCAACTCTCATTTTCTCTGTCAGTAGGAGGTGGGGTGCTTGGAGCCCATTCCAAGAGCAGGTTTTCCTCAAGGATTCGGTATTCCTGCTGACCAGGGCATGGGCTGAGGATGCTTTTTCAGAGCACTGAGTCTTGACTTGACATTTCCTGGTTGTTCCCAGGCAGTCAGCCACCTTCATGGGCAGCTGTGCTCATTTGGAGCGGTCACAGTCCCTTGCTGAGTGTGGGGTTTGTCAGAGCATGTTGAAACCCCAACTTTTTGGTATAGGACAGCTCAGTTGGTATTTATTGTTGCTTTTCTTTCTGATACATTTTTTAAATTCTAATTAGTTATTTATGACAATAGAATGCATTTTGACACATTGTCCACAAATGGAGCACAAATTCTCATTCCTCTGGCTGTACATGGGGCAGTCACACCAGTAGTGTCATCATACATGTGTATAGGGGGACAATGTCTGTCTGGTTCCACTGTCCTTCCCAACCCCACAGCACCTTCCCTTCCTTCTGTCCCCTCTGCACAAAGTTCCTTCATTCTCCCAGCTGAGGTGCCCAGCTCTGAAGGGTGGTTTCCAGTCTAGGGGAGGCGTAGGCCTGGACACAGGCTAGCTGGTTCCGCATCCCTGGAAAACCTTAGAAGAGCAGGAGAGACTCAAATAGGAAATGGAAGCGGTGGTAGGCATTCACAAGTTTAAATCCACCCCAGCCCTGCCCTTGGCCTTTGTCTCTTCATTCCGGCTACAGTTTGCTGGATGTGCTCTTGGGATTTCACTAACACTGTGTTGCTTGCAGAGCCGGGGTGCCTGTTCTAGAAGAGGATGCTTCTAAGGAAGACAGAAATAAAGTCAGATTTGTGCGGGGGAGGGCGGAAGGAAAAGAGGCAAGCTGGCTCCTGATGGACAGTTTAATTTGTGGGCTCTTCTCTAGAGTCTTTGACAGCTCCTTTCTTTGTGACGGGAGGTAATTGTGTACCCACAGTGGGGCCTTTTCCAGGTGTCTGTCCTGACTCTGTCCCTGCAATCACTTGGTAGCACCCCTCTCTGTCAGATGCCATTTGCAGGCACCCTGGGCCCCTTGTGCTGTTGGACGTGGAAGCCCCTCTGCGACAGGCTCTCCTCTGGCTGACATTCTGACCTTGGGCTGCTCTGGCCCTGGTCCCTTCTGGCTGTTAAGGCTCTTGGTCCTTATCCTCTAGTCCTTCCCCCATCAGACATGCTGCTCCATGTTCCGACATTTTCCGGGAGCATCTGGGACAGCACGGTACCTGTGTCAGCACCGGGGATGACCCACATTCTGGGAGAGAGGCACTTCCTGGGGTGGTTTCATTGGTGGCTACACACAGTAGGGAACTAGCTGGGGTCATGGGTCATTTAGGGTGTGAGCAAAATGACTGGAGAAGGAGGCTCTCTCCCACCCCCAACCTCCTTCCTGCTCTCAAGGTGCTCACTACCCAGATCTCGCGGCCTGGGTGGGCGGCTGAAGAGGCTCTGTCTCCACGTCTGGAGACAGGATCCTGGTACCCTCTCATGGTGTACTTTGGATCATTGTTAACACACTTTCCCAGGAAATAGTGAAGTCGTAACCAACAACCAGCATTTGCTGGATGTGGCTCTCCTGGGCCGTCTGTAGGCGGTGGGTGTGGGCTCCAGAACGGCCAGCTCCCGGCCTTACCTCCTACTGGCTTTGCAAGTTTGGGAAATCACCTGCCTCTTGCCAGAGCCTCAGTTTCCTTCCTTTATCACTTTAAAGGTGGCTTTCATAGCCGTCCCTGCTGGAGTACAGAGCACCATGGGGGAGGGGGGACAGACCATGGGGCTTCACTTGGTGTTGTGGCACATCATAAGGACTCAGTGGCTGTTGGTGACCCGAATGCCACCAGTGATGCCCTGCTCTGCATGTTGTTATGGTAGGCCTGTGGTAAGGGAGGAAATGGAGGCTCAGAGGCGAGCAGGTTAGGCAGCTGGCTCGAGGACACGGGTCAGCGTTGAAGCCCAGTTGGAACGCAGGCCTCCTCCCTGCGTCTGTCTGGGCTCAGCTTCTGGCCTGTAGAATAGGCATCATGCAGAAGCAGCCGTGGGTGCACCCTGCTTGGTGATGTCCATAGAGCATCTCAGTCCCAGGTGCTGTGCAGAACGTTTGGTCCTTTGCCCAAGGTGGCTCAATAATAAGCTCTACCAGCCTCAGTTTCACCATCTGTGAAATGAAGCTGATGGGCAAAGGGGGCCACTAAAATTCAGGGTGTCTACCTGGGAGCTTGGTGGCCCAGTGGAAGGGGTGCTGGTCCTGCCAACTGTGTGCCCTGTGTGTTCCCTCATGTCTCTGAGCTGTGTCTGCACATTGAGGATATTTCCTCAACAGAGGAGTTAGAAGATTAGGCACAGGAGAGGAGAGCCTGCAACACTCGCCTAGTCCCTGACAACTGTCGCAAGAGTTTCAGTCATTTTCTTCCATGTCCCTGAAACAAGCCTCCTTGCCTTTCTCCTCCAACCAGGGCAGAAGGCATTTATTGTGATTTATTTAATGCTTCTTACTTTCTAAGGTGAGCATGGCTGTAACATTATGGTTAAAAAAGTCTAGAACTTGAACTGATCCCATTTTAGTACTTATTAACTCTGTGACTTTCAGCAGGTTATTTAACCTCTTGTGCCTTAGTTTACAATGCGCTAAATAAGGGCCCATTGCATAGGGTTGCAGTGACGACTGAGTGAATAAATTTGTGGGAAGTGCCTAGGCAGACCGTGATTCTTAGTTAATCCTCAGCCCATGTTATTCTTCAGTATTCTAACTTAGGAGTGCCCATCAAATGGCCCCTGTGTCTCACAGGACATTTGGCTGAAGTTTACTCAGCTCTGACCACTCCACTGTCCTACCCTGACTTATCCTAGGGATTTCAGTCATTTCTGAAGCCCAAGATACATTGACAGAAGGGAGAACAGTCCCACGGGAATTTTTCCTGTCCATTTTTGTCCCCATGGCCACACCTGTGTGGAGATAGATGCGACCCCTCCCCACCTCCCTGTCCCTCCACCTCTGCCCTGTGGGCTGCGGTGCTGGCCAGGCCTGGGAGGGTTCTCCTGGGGTTTGCTAGGTAGAGGGTGGTACTGGTCCTCTCCCTCCTGCTGTTCCTCCCTCTGTGTGGCCTGTGCCCCAGGAACATGTCCTTTTCCTAGGGTGTCCCTTCTGGGGCTCATCTCAGAATTCCAACCCTGGGTTGAAAAGCATTTGTCAAAAGGGGGTGGATGGTGAATGCAAATATGTCCCTCTCCGTCCCCATTTGGGCACTGTGCTGTCCAGGAAGAAGGAACTCAGTGGGGCCCAAGTACTGTCTGGAGGTAGAGGGTCTCACGTCACACAGCCACACAGGGCAGGCGCTTCTGCTGTGCCCCAGGTGGCACTGGTACTCTGTCTGAAGGCTGTGTCCCCTTGCCTACAGGAGAAGCGCTTGAGAAGGGAGCCTTGGACCCTCCTGGCTGCCCTCCTGGCTGCCCTCCTGGCTCAGGGAGCGGTTGATTGGTGGTTCTAGGGAAAACGCCCCAACAGATCTACCCAGGAAAGTTGAAAATGGGTTTAAATTAAGTCCACTGTCATTGGGGGAGCAGGCCTGGGGGTCCAGTTAGGAGCAGGGAGCAGTACTGAAAAAGAGCCCCTTGGCCATCGGGCCCCCAGCTGAGGTCACGGGTGGCTCTGAAGACTCCCCAGCTCCCACACCTGGGCTGTGAGGCTTCCCAGCTGGGCCTTTCTGGGTGGGCTGGGGACCTCTTTGGACAGTCTTCGGGAGCCTCTGGATAAAGCCCTTCCCACTCATGTTTTATTCTGGGGTTTTCTGTCCATCCAGGGTCATTTTGTCATATTCTCTTCCCCTTCATGTGTACGAGCTGGACTTGTTGGTGGGGTCATTAGAGAGTGAGTGCTCTTCGGTGAATGGGAGCGTGTGAACTGATCCGTGTTGACAAGGGCAGGGAGCTGGGCTTGATGTTTGGATTTGGGCGCACAAGGACTTCTTCAGCCGTGACCATGACTGTGGATAAAGCAGACCAGTCACTGCTCCTCAGGCCCTGAATGTACAGGTCTGTTTCTCAGTCACCAGCGTCAGGACCATTTGACATGACCCCAGACTAGTCATTTGAGAGAGTCAGCATTAACAAGCCCTGGAGCTACTTAGGTGTGAGCCGTGGTAGAACTTGTGGAAACTGGCCCCGAATCACTGAAGCCACCACCCCCTGAGTGAATAGAAGGCCTGGGGAAGGACCAATTCTGTGCCTCAGCTCTGAGCCATCTCTCAGGCATCCACCTTCTGCACCTGTGCCTTGTGCTCCTGTGTGGCCTGCAGTGCTGGGACTTGTCTGTTTGATGCTTAAACAGCCCATGTTATTCAGCACCATAGCTGATAAGGAGGGTCATGGAACCAGCCAATATCATTTGTGACACAAAGACCTGGAGGCAGTAAGGTTTGTGGCATCTGGTAAACTGTCTCTGAAGACAGGTGCCCAAGAGGAGTCCCCAGAGTAATTCAGCTCTGCAGTCTGGTTGTGGTGTGTTGAGCATCTCAACTTATTTTGAAAGTCATGATCATTTTCATGAATTCTGTTTTCATTAAAAAAAGCATCTTCCAGCCATGACTTTGTCCCATCAGTAAGTCTCTCTCCAAAGAGTGATATCTCCTTAGAGCACAGGTTAATATTTCAGAACTGTGAATGGTGCAGGTTGACAGGTGCCCCAGCCTGTGCCTTGTACCACCGACCACTGGGCTAGTCATGGACTGTGGGGAGTTCAGTCCCTCCTGACATGGTTAGCCCAAGAAGTAACATAAATACCTTTTTATTGGTTGTTGAAATGTTTAAAAGCAACTTACTAATCACGGAAAGCTGGATTGAAGAGTCCACAGGGGAGGCAGAGAACCTGGTCTCCAAAGCCCGGCCTTGCGGCTCCCCTCCTGTGAGGACCCAGCACATCATTTAGTCCCGGAGCCCAGAGAAGATAGTCACAGGGCCATTCTGAGGACTAAGAGGCCACCAGCCTGGGCGCACCTGGCCTGGTACTGACCCACAGCAGGCTTGGCAATGAGGTTGATTTTCTTGGGGTCTCAGCAGCTGAGTTCAGTAAGTTTGTGCGGAGTGTCCGTGGGGAGGGCGGGAGGAGGGGAGAGGAGAGACTTCATGGGAAAGGACTAAATTCTGCTCCGGAGAAGGGATGGATGTTCCAACAAGAAAACCAGAGGGAAATAAATGGATCGACAGTCCCACACTCTCCTGTGGCCCAGGGACGGGGCTGGGCGGCCACGGGGAGCATACAGGGGTGTCCTTTGTGATGATGATTCATGGTAGTTGTAGACTGTTCCTTTCTGTTTAAAAAGTTGTCGACGTAGCTCTTACCCATGGCAACTCAGTTATAACCTATAATCAGACCTTTGTTTTTTCAAGTCTCTGATTCTGGAAATGAATCCTTCCTTCATTTTTGTTTTGAGGTCAGGAGTTCGGGCAGGGCATCCAACTAGTGAGTTGAAGTGAAGCGGACTGGAACTAATGATCAACCGGCCCTTCTGAAAGCAAACTGATGTCTTCACAAGGGATTATTTGTTATTTCTTCCAGGCAATTTCTTTCCTCACACCCTTGGCCGTTATTTGTGTGGTGAAAATTATCCGGCGAACAGACAAGACTGAAATTAAGGAAGCCTTCTTAGGTAGGGTATTCACAGTTCCTGCTTTAGGGGGTGGGACTGAGCTTAAGGGCATCGTGGCAGTTTAGATATCTCAGCTGCAGCTGGTCCTGTTAAGCTCCGGGGGAAACACACAAGGTAAACATGAAGGGCTAAGAGCCAATGCACCATTCCCAAGGAGGGTTCGCGGAGGGTGCCCATGCTCGCTGTCCTTGGTGCTGAACCCGGGCCTGATGTCCCCATCTGAACTCCAGGCCACTCCGACACACGGAGGCAAGGTAGCTCTTGGCTAAGGCAGACTTTGTCACCACTGGCTGTGCCACCTCACATTTGTGGCTCCTAGGCCCACACTCTGGGGGAATTCAGAAATCAATATTGGCTGGAGGCAAAAACGGGCAAAAGCAGATGTCAAATAAAATAGCAATTGGAAACTTGCAGGCACTTACAGTGGGAGATGCTTTGGCAGTGGTTGCTATGAGCTCCAGCTTTGTCATTGTCATAGGTGCTCCCCAGGATGAGCCATGTCCGCCTATGACAAGAGTTTAACATTTTAAGAGCAAATGTTTTTCTAGTCTTCGTAGTTATAAAATGCCGAGTCAATGATAGGATGAAGAGCTGCCAACATTGTTTGGCTTATTTAATAACCAGAATAAATTAACCCATAGCCATATCTTTTGATTCCAAGGAAAGCTAAATAAGGTTATTGGGTTTTTTTTTTGATAACTCACATATAAGTTACCTATAACTTCACCTCAAAATTTATGTCTGGTGTTTGTGCAGACGCACCATCTAGTTAGGTAGTGAACCTGGAAGAATGAAATTTCTCACTCAACAATGTGTTTAATGGTTGGGTTGTGGGGAAATGAAACTAGAAAATATGGTCCTCCTTTTTGTTGATAAGGTGCACAGAACAGTCAAGGGGCTTCCACCCTCAATGGCACAGATGTTGTTCACATAACCAGGCTTTAGTTAGGTCCTGTCCAGTTGAAAGGAATAGGATAACTGCCCTCCCAAATTAGCTTAAATGAATCAGGGGTTTAAATCCAGAGCCAGACTAAGCCATCTCAGGGACATATCAGAAGAGAAGGGGAAGCCAAGGTATCTCACTGGGACTGGAGTGAGCAGCTAGGGCATCAAGAGGAGAGACCCACCGTGCCTCAGGACCCTTGTCTGGGCCTCCTGGCCTCACCCTCCTGCTGCCCAGACCTCTGGTCCACGGGAGGCTGGAGCTCCCTGTGGTGACTGCTCCTGCCCCATGTCTGTCTGACTGCTCAGCTCAGGGGCCCGTCACTGACTTTCGCTGTTTCTTGGTCTGGACTCTGGCTCAGCTCATTTCTTCAGCTGGACATAAAGTGCAGCCTGGAGTCTTCCTCCCACAGGTCCTCCCTGTGTCCCCAGGCTGCATCTGTGGGTTGGGTTGGGTCACATGGTCTTGGTCCTTTTGACTGAGGTGGCAGAAAAGTCAGCTTCTCCAGCACAAGCACAGGGGCCTCCCAGACACGGCTCGAGTGTCCTGGTCCCCAAACACCCCACCAGGAGCCATCTGGTTGGCCTGGAAGCACTTCACCTCAGCCTTTAGTTGCTCCCCTGGCTCAGATCCCCAGATAAACGATGATGGGTAAGAACTGTCTTTCATGGTTGTGGTTACAATTTACGGCTGGCTTTTGGAGTTGGGCCATTGTGATGGCAGTAAGTAGCTCATGGTTACCTTCTGTAGACACTTTCATTCTCAGCTAAATCTTCCTTATGGTGACATTTCAAAATTGAACACCAGAGTCTGTCTCCTATGTGTTAACTGGGAAGGTGGAATTATTGAATGTTCTGTTTGCCTAAATAAATGAAAACCTGCCCTGTAAAAATGATGAAGAGCCTTCATTGTGCGCAGAGTTTCAAAACAACCTCTGTTCTTAGGGAGGGAGGCTGGAAGTAGAGGGGAGGGAGTAAACTTGAAACACTAAGGACAGAAAAGGTCGTTTTCTAATGTCTGGAATTCAGGACTTTCTCGTGAGGTGGTGTAGTGCCCAGATCCCTTCCTTGCTCAGGTGACCTGGGAAGACTTTTACTTAGACTTCCCAACCCAGGTGCCACGTTTTCCTGATCTGCCTGTGCACACTGGCCCCATCTGTGCGTCTGGGCCAGAGGAGAGCAGTGAGGTTTCGCCCTGCAGCCTTGGGATTTCATGCATTGGGCTGCAGAGCAACAGATCTGCACGATAGAGAGCGTGCTGCAGAAGGACTGTGGTCCAAATTTCCTACCACAAAATAAACAACCCAGGCCCCCTAATCCTCTCTAATGCTTACAACCAGTGGTGCCTTCAATCTGGGCTCCAGCAAGCCAATTCCCAGGCCATGTCGCTTTAAATTTCTTTATCAGACGTAGTCTGGTTTGTCTTTCTGGGTTTTCTGTTAAACTTGCTGGGAGAAGCGGTGGAAACCAGGCCCACTGGGTCATTGTCAATCCATAAGCACTCCTGAGGGGGCCATTCACTTCCCTGCTTGTCCAGCCCATGGCAGCCTCTGGTATCAGGAGGGGTCCCTGTGTTGGTCCTTGAGGGTGTGCTGTTCACGTGAAAATATCCATCAGGTCAGTGGAGCCTCCACACCAAGAACCATGACTCCAGGTTCCCGTCCGGGCTTCTTCAGGAGTCGGGTGGAAGTGAGGCTGCCAGCTGCTGGTGGTTTGATCACATCCATGTATTTTCTAGCTCAGCTACTTCAAAGTTTTTGAAGCACTTCCCTGTGCTGGGGTAAGCCCACCAGGCTCAGAGGTTTCGGGTATGCAGTGTGATGGATCGATGTAGCTGTGTGCTAAGTTTGCCAAGATTTATGAGGGGCGATGGGAGATCAATTAGTGATGCTTGCTTCCAGAGGGTTTATCTGTGCTATGGCCAAGCTCTGGCCAGGACACACGTGTGAGCGGAGCCCCCTGGGAGAGCAGCAGGGAGCCTGCCAGTCAGCCTGAGCAGGGGAGAGCCCACAGTCTTGCCCTGCTCTCTCATAGCCTATTCATGACCATGGTTCTGGGAAAAAAATACAACCAAGAGAGCCCAGAGAGTTTTCTCTCCATTGCAAAAGGGCCCTCTCAGCAGTGCTCTGAGCTTGTGAGACGAAAGAGAAGCCAGAATTTTAGGAAGGAGGGGTCTGTGTGTACAGAGTGCTGTCGGTAGATCTTCCTCTGCTCAGTTGCAGTTCACGCACCCCCTCAGCTGCATGCGCGGCGTGTTGGCGGCAGTGCCACGGTGCTGCCTGGCGCTCTGCCCTCCAGCCCTGGCCCATCCTCCTTTGCCACCGAGCTCAGACATGGCAGGTGTTTCCCCTCCCACTTCAGTGATTCGTTTCCGCTTGACAAAGGTGTTCAATTCAACTTATCCCTACCATTCTCTCTGCTTCCTATGACTCATTAGGAGCAGGTAGTTTTGTCCCCATCTGGGTGGCCTATGCCCTTGGTGACCATCTCGACCATTCCACAGTACTTTCTGCTTGCAAAACAACACATTTGTCTCCCTCCATGGTCACAAATTGCTCTAGGCAGCTCCTTCCCGAAAATGCCTCTCCACTGCTCTGTTACATAAATCTCAGCGAGAATTGAACAGTTACTATTTGCCAGAGGTAAATGGTAGCTCCCGTGCTTTGTGGTTCAACAGAGCCACGGAACAGGGCATCACTAGGCTTTTATTGCTTATGCAAGGCCTTTGACCTTCCGCCACATCTATGGGGATGACTTTGCCTTTGGTTCACTCTTGATGAACCACAGAGGGAGGGGTGAGGGTTTTGCAGGGAAAGCACCGTGGCTCATGTCACTGGCACCCTTTGGATGATCTGTACTTCATCCAGTAAAGTCTTTCCAAGCAGCTTGGAGGAGGGCCCTGTGCTGTATACTTTAAAATAATGTATTCCAGAAGTTCTTCCTGTTCCAGATGGCAAAAACCACCACCTGGACAGACCTTCTCAAAATCCAGCGAGGTGCTTGGAAAAACTTCTCAGGAACAGTGACTTGTTTGTTAACAAGTGGGTGGCTGTCAGGAGTGATGGGTCAACAATGAGATAGCCGCCTGGTGGGATGTCCTGTTCTGCAGCTAGATTCCAGCAAGTGCTCTGGTTAGAATTATGCCTGAGAAGGTTGTCGGGAGGAAATAAAAAGTTATGTATCTTGCAACTAGTAAAAGAAATTCTACATGCTGTAGTCTTAAATCTGTTTATATCAGGCCAGAAAATGATAGATGGACTCCTCTGTGATGTTGAAATTTTCAAGTCAAGGAGGAGAGATAAATTTCATGTCATATGCACTTGGAATTTTATGAGTCACCCTCCAAAGTCCTGCCCCAATTGTATTTTTTCTGTAGCAGCCTAGCTTCCCTCTTTTTTAAAGCACTGGTTCATATCTGTATAGTCATATTAAGTAGTATTCTAAATGTTTTACAGTGATAATGGTGGTGGGGACGATGATGGTGATAATAATATTGATGGTGATGATGATGATGATGGTATTGATGGTGGTGGTGATGATAATGAGGTGATGATGCTGCTGCTGATGGTGGTGGTGATGATGATGGTGATGGTGATGATGATGGTGATGATGGTGGTGATGGTGGTGATGGTGATGATTTTGATTTGAGAGCCAGCTGGTTATTTTTCTGTCTGTTGGTTTTGTTTTGTAGCGGTGTCCTTGGCTCTTGCTTTGAATGGAGTCTGCACAAACACTATTAAATTAATAGTGGGAAGGTAAGTTCCAAAAAGAAACAAATGGTGACTTAGACTGTCCAGGTCAACCATATAGGAACCATGGCCACAGGACACTACACAGGACAGATTCTAGTTTTCCCCTGAGTCATTGCCATTCTTGGATTTTTTTTTTTCTTATCATCAGCATAGGTCTTTTCTCTCCTTAGAATTGCAAACTTGCTATTTTATAGAACAGATCAACAGTAAGGAACTGTCCACTGACCATACTTTCTTATGAGTCACAGCCTGCCACTGGCATTTCAAGAACCATCTACTGCTATCCCAGGGCCTCACCAGATACCTCTTCTCATATCAGTTTTGTCCTTTGATAAATAAAAAAGGTTAGTTATTGTTCTCTGCACAATGAGATGTAGTTTGGCATCGAGATTTGGCTTAGGGCACATTTCTCTACTGCCCCTAAGACGTGATTTCTGTTCTATATTATCTCTCCTTGTCTGACTACTCTGGTGAAGGAGCTAGTCTCTGCAGAGATTTAGCAAACCAAAGGCCCAAATTCAAGTCCTGGTCTGGATCCTGATGAATTGATGGCCTTGGATAAGTTAGATCCCCTTTCCCCACCACAGCATTTAATAATTATGCTGGTCAGGCATTGAGGGGTAGAAGATGGATAAAACTGAGCAGTGCTTGGCCTGGTCCTGCAGTTCCTCCCACCCCCTGTGCTTAGAGTTCCTTTACGGGCGGGAAAAAATACTGTTTCTCAGGCCACATCCTCTCTGAGGTTCTGGTTCAGTAGGCAGACCAGCCACCCTGGAGAAACACTGGCCATGTAGGGAAAAGACCAGCAGCACTGATGGGTTATTGAGATGTAAGGATCCACATTCGGTGTACAATAACTGGGACCCAGTATGCCCAGGAAAAGGGTGCTGTGTTTGCAGCATTGGCTGAGTCTCGCCCATGGTAGAGAGCCCCCAAATGATAGTTAGATTACTGTGATGCAAGAGACCATCACACCCCCCGCTGAGGATCCTCCCCTGAGTGAGGCAGTCGGGGATGTGTAGGCATGAGAATTCCGTTGCTGGGTTCAGGGCTTGCTTTGCCACTTACAGGTTGCGAGTGAGCTTAGGAAGGAGTGTAAATCTTCCCAAGCCTTCATTTTTGGCAACCGTAAAATGAAGAAAGCCCCAGGTTTTTGCCTCAGTGTTCTCCTAAGAGTCATGGGTTAGTTTTATGTTGTCCGGACAAAATGCCTGAGAAAAACAACTTAAAGAAGGAAAGATTGATTTTGGGATCACTATTTTCAGAAGTTTTGGTCTGTGATTGGCTGGCTCTGTCCCTGGGTGTGAGAGGCGGCAGATCATCATGGTGAAAGGGCAGGGTGGAGGAAAGCCCCTCACTTCAAGGTGGCTAGGAAGAAAGGAGAAAGGGGAAGGGGCTGGGGACAAGATAGAGTTCCCAGGGGCATGTTCCCAAGGACCCACTCCCTTCAATGAGGTCCAAGCTCCCAATCATCCATTTAACTATGAAGTCATCAATGGATTAATCCACTAATAATGTCAGAGCCCTCATGATCCAGTCCCTTCCCCAAAGCCCTGCCTCTGAACATAGCTGCATTGGGGACCAAGTCTTCAGGACAGGAGTTTTGGGGGCATTCTGGATCCAAACTGTAAGAAGTCCCATGGTGTGAGGCTCACGCAGTGCCCAGCATGGAGTCTGGCGCCCAGTATGTGTTCATCAGATATTAACTGTGGTTCTGGCTTCGGGGCCAGGGTACCCCTCTCCCTGCTAGAGCCTTCCCTCCTGTGCCTTAGACCAGAGAAGCCAGCGTGGGCCTCAGAGTTTTCTGCATCATGGAGCTGAGCTTTCAGGTCTTCTTGGGTCAAGTGGGACCTGCTCTTTGAGGAAAGGCAATTGGATACTGAAATTCAGGGCAGATTTTTATATGAATAGCCTGGGGTCCTGGGAGCAGCCTATGGATTGGCAGAGCAGTGAATTGAGGCAGGCAGTACCTTTTATTGCTCTGGAGCTGTGCTTAGGTGCTTCCTATAAGTCATGCCATTTAGTGCCGGGACCTTGCCTTTGGCTGAGTATTGACTTCCCCCTTTGACAGCTGTGGAAATGGAGGCTGAGAGAGGCTGAGCGACTTTCCATAGGTTACAGACTAGTAAGTGGCAAGCGAGCATTCCGACTTAGGTCTTTCTGACCCAGAAGCCTGGGCTTCTCCCAAACCAGCATGTGCAGAATGCTCTGGGGGAAAACTGCAGTTTTGCCAGCAGAGGGGGCTCGAGGAAGGGGCCGGGGCCACGGGGAGGTGGGCTCAGCTTGGGGCTCATTGTGATGGCAGCGTTTTATATTGAAAATGTCCATGGTGTCTTTTGTAGACCTCGCCCCGATTTCTTTTACCGCTGCTTTCCAGATGGAGTGATGAACTCGGAAATGCACTGCACGGGTGACCCTGACCTGGTGTCCGAGGGCCGCAAAAGCTTCCCCAGCATCCACTCCTCTTGTAAGTTCATGGTGGGGACACACTTCAGTTCCCGTGGGCACGTTCCTGGTCACTTTCTTGGGGAGCTTAGGTGGAGAGAAGAGCATTAGTGTGTGCATGTTAAGCACCGTTCATTTTTCTTTGCTGTAGGGTGGTTGGCTTAGAAACAGGATGCTCAACAGGAAGTAATTAGCCTGGAGACAAGGCTCCGGGGTTTACCAACACTGTACGTGTTGTTTCCTGAGCTCAGCAGAGTGTGACGGGTGATGCTTTAACCTTGATGGCACGTGGGAAATTTGCCATGTTCCCTGGGACCTGATATTGCTCAACTTAGTGTTCTGCCTGATTTATTTCTTCAATTGTGCGCGTATTTCAGATATCTGTGTACATATATACACAATGCATACGCAGATTCATGCACACATGCATGTACGCTCACACACACACACACACACACACACACACACACACACTCACACTGATGTATAGTTCATCTTTAGGTACATGAGCTGGGGTCGGCATCACAGCAAAGGCTGAAGAAAACGAGGCTGGGGCATCATTGTGTAGAAGGGACACAGGTCTTTGAATTGTGCCCAATCCTGGCTGCCAGATATTAGCTCAGGGGCTCGGCTCCTGCTGCATGAAGTGGGAATGAGAATGCCTCCGCTGTCTGTCAATGAGCAACAACCACCACTTGCATTTCAGAGCACCTGCCGTGCCAGAATGTGTAGGTCCATTGTCTTATAGGTCCACTCAGTAATTGCAAAGCACTTAGAATCGTGAGTTCAAATAAGCAGTGGCTCTCCCTATTGTTATTTATTGTCAGAGATGAAGTTTCCAGAATATCCTGGCTCATGTCTTCATTCATTTTATCAATGTTTATTAAATGACTTGGATACCGGGCACCACGCCAGGTGTTGGGGATACAGACAGAAACAAGATGCAGCCCATGCCTTGAATAAGATGAGCCCCTGCCGTGGCATGTCCATAGGCAGTGGCAGGCTGTGTAGTAAGCTGGCGATTCTTGGGATAATTGGAGGGGAACTATGGCAACAGGTGACTGACAGCTTGGGATGGGCCATGATGCCAAGTCCTTGACTCCTGCAGGTCTGATCATCGCTCACCTGGGCTTGTCTCATCTTAATCTTTCCTTTTCTTTTTTTTTCCTAAATTCTGTACCTAAGACAAATCCTACTAGTGGCTGGATTGAGACATTTGAGAATTAATGGAATGCTTTATCCTGTGACCGGCTGTGGATGTTTTGCCCAGAGCCATTGGAGTTGAGGGTCTGTCAACAAGATATCGGGGTGCCAGGTACTCAAAATGAATTGCTGTCAACCTGAACCCCAACATGCCAGGCTGGGGTTGTTCCCACTTAACTTACAAGGACACTGAGGCTCAGACAGACCTAGTAACTTGTCCAAGGATGACAACCTCTCTTGATCTAGTGTCTTGGGCCTTTTGGCAGTTTAATACAATGAAGTATTTATAGTTCTTGTAAGTCTACATAAAAACTCATTTTGTCTTTTGGTTTGCTGAAGACCGTGGTGGGTTGCATACCGGCCCCCAAAAGGCAGGCCTAAGTTCTAGTCCCTGGAACCTCTAGAAAAAGGCTCTTAGTTAATAACAGTGTATTATATAGTGGAAATTTGCCAAGAGAGTAATTTCAGAATCTCCCCACCCCCCACACAAGGTGATCATGTGAGAAGATGGATATGGTACCTTGTCTGACGGTAGTAGTCATTTTACTATGTGTATTTTTATTATTTAAAAATTACTGTTTACATTCCAAAAAGGTGGGGGAAGGGTCTGTGCAGATGTAATTACAGTAGGGATCTTGAGATGCGATCATTTTTGACATAGGTGACAGGCATGGGGAGATGTGAGACAGACACACAGAGGAGGAGGCCCAGTGGATTAGCAGGTTGGAGTACTGTAGTCACCAGCCCTGAACACGTGGAGCCACCACAGCTGGAAGAGGTTCCTCCCAGAACCTTCAGAGGGAGCGTGGCCCTGCTGGCAACTCGGTGGTGGACCCCTGGTCTCCAGGAGTGTGAGAGAAGGAGTGTGAGCTGTGTTCGCCTCCGTGTCAAGGTCACCCATTGCTGCAGCCCTGGGAGATGAACATAGAGACTCAGATCAGACATTAATCAGCACAAAGGAATTGGCTTTAGGGACGTGCAGGGGATTGAGGGACGCACGTCGCTGCATATGCTGCTTCAAAACAGGTCCCTGTGTCAGGAGCAGCACGATGCATGAGAATGTGGGCCTCAGGTTCTTCCAGGCCTCAGGCCTCCTGCCACTCGAGGAAGGAAACACACCTGGAAGTGCTTCCTTCCGAAGTCGTTTTTACTCTGTGAAGCACAAGGGTCTGGGGTGTCAGCTGGAGGCTCCCTGCTGTGAGCCGTGGCATCCTTGCCGTCAGGAATTCCCAGGCTGGCGTTGCTCGGGGGACCTGGAATTGTCTTCACCTGGGGCCGGCTCTTTCTGCTCTCACTCTGTGCCTTACTCAAGTCCTGTGTCGTTCTTTTGTGTTGTTTTGGGGATATAATTCATCCCCCCAATAGCTTGGTGCTGTTTTAAGGGGGCTTTAAAAATTAAGAGCACTAAGTAGCGGAACCCTTTCCTAAGATAGGAAAATCTTAATTCTGACTTTTCAAATGGTTGACTAAGGACGGAGGCAGCGTTCCGTGTCTGCTGTTGCACTTGAACTTGGGGAGCAAATAGCTCTCACCTGAAGGCCTCAAGCAGGCAGACGGCTGGCACCACAAAGCTGTTTCCTTTAGACTCACTCTCTCCCTCTGGCCACCAGGAAGCCTTTCTCACGGGCTGCCCGTCGGCCGCTTGTTGAATGTGGGACCGAGGTTGGTCTGTGCTGGACAAGCGTTTTGGAAGGTGCTATTATTATCTTTTGCTTCAGATGTCACTTAGTATGTTATAGATTTGTCCAGTCAGCAGGCGGAATCCTCCACAGCCTCTGGACTTTCATGGGGGTATTTCCATGTATCTCTTTCCCCTTTTGATGACAGGGCTCGGGATTGGCTTGAAGGGACCTGCCCTCTCCAGTCAAAAAACCATCAGGGCTATTTTCTGGATTTCTCATTGTAGCTAATAGGAAGGCTCGTGACTGGGGTGACTTTTGCTCCTCAGAGAGGATGACCTCAGTGGACCTTTATTTTGTTACAGATACTCCTTCTCCCTTAAAAAAGAAAAAAAATCAATTTTCTAGGCTTGATTGGCAGAAACTTCTGGGATGTGGGATGGAGATCTAACCCCTGCTCCTGCTGTCTTCAGAGATAATTGGCCACAGGATTATAGGCCTTGCCCTCATAACCTCCTGTAGAAGGGTGGTTTCCTCTGGACTGAAGAACAAACACTGATTTCTTTTGGAGACAAAGGATCTTGTTCTTAATGAGCAACCAAACAACTGCAGCTGAAGAGCTCACCAAGTCAACCCTGAGCACACAGCATAGCATGTCCCTGCAGTGGGGGAATCTCAGGGGGACTCGCTCAGCAAGGCAGCCTAATCCCCCTTGATTGGACACGCAGAGACCACAGTTTCCAAGAGCAGGTGGTGTCCTGCAGGCCTGGGAGAAGCTTTGGGTTGAAGAGGAGACAGAGAGTGGACTCCCTCCATGGGGCTGAACGCTGGAATGTTCTGCAAAGGGAATCGAGTCTCGTAGCACAATCTCAATTTTTGATTGGGTAATGATTCAAGAGAATAGAGGGGAGAGAGAAAACACAGTAAAACAAGTGATTAACGCCAAGTCAAGCTGTTCGGAAGCTTCTTTCCTGTGGAAGGGGTGGGAATGAGTGAAGCCACGCCGTTGTCCAGGGATGGCCCACGCCAGCAGGCAGGCCAAGCCACCAGCTGCTCGGCTTTGCAGATCAAGTTTTATTGGAACACAGAAATGCCCGTTCATTTACATACCGTCTGGGGCTGCTTTCACTTTAGAGGGACAGAGTTAAGTGGTTGCAAAAGAGACATGGTCCACAAAAATGACAATATCTACTTACAATACTATCTCACCATCCTTGCACCTGACACACGTTGCAACCTGTAGTATTAAAAAGCATTACTGGGCTGGGGATGTTGCTCAAGCGGTAGCACGCTCGCCTGGCAGGCGTGCGGCCCAGGTTCGATCCTTAGCACCACATACAAACAAAGATGTTGTGTCCGCCGAAAACTAAAAAAAAAAAAAATCAAAAAATTCTATGATAAATAAATAAATAAATATCAAAAAAATTCTAAAAAAAAATAAAAATTAAAAAGCATTACTAAACAAGACCAGCACCTTCAGACTGTGCATGTGGATGCTTCAATTTTGAACAACTCTATTTCAGTATAAAGGGGGGCCATTGTTGCTGGCAGGTGTATTCTTTAAAGGGCTGGGGAGGTAGGAAGGGCTGACAGAGATTCAGTTGCCCCCTGCTGAGCCCTTACTGTTTAGTAGGCCCTGGGCTCAGCACTTGGGAGGGGACCAGGATGATCATGGCCCATGTCCTCCTTGTGGGTGAGGTGGACCCTAGCTCTACAGCGCTGCTCAGAAGCTGGGAATGTCTGTCAAGGGGCAGGGCAGCCTCCAGGAGGAAAAGCACTGTCTCTTAGAGTTTCCCACCAAAGAGTACAGGTGGGTTTCATGTTTTGAGGTTTTTATTATGTCTGAAGCATCTTAATTCTGGTTGTGACTGTGTATAGAATTTTAAGCTGCAAATCATTTCCACGCAGGACTCCAGTCCAGAGCATGCCTAAGACAGGTCTGAGGGTGTTACTTTCCTCATTTTTCTCTATTTTTTTTTTCTGGGACCTCCTAGGATATTTTCTCTGTCTCTGGTCGTCTGAATTTCCTGAAGATGTGCCTTACTGGGCTTCTTTTATTGACTTTATTGTCCTGGTCACTCCACGAGTCCTTTTAAGCTGGAACTTCATTACTTGTACCTCTGTGGTCCCTGTTTCATCTTTGGAACTGTCTTAAGCAGATGTTGAATCTCCTGGACTCTTAATCTTTTTATTATCATTT